TGGCGCGATATTTCGAATTTTTATCTCAGTTTTACGGTTTTCATTTGACTCACCCTCGTATAATACTTTCAAAATAAATTTTAACTAGATAAAATACACGCAGCACAAAAAATTATAAATTACTACATACCTTTGCCGTTAAACTCCACACTTCCTTTGCCAGTCTTTGCATTCACAATCCAGTAACCTTCCTTGCCGTTTGGACCATTCCGCACTTTGAAGGCGTACACTCCTCTCGCTCTCTCTACCAGATTATCTTCATCTGACTGCATAGCCGCCTCCAACGATTTGAATAAAACTGAGGCCTTAAAATCATCTGGATCAACAACTGCGCTGGCATAATTCAATCCAACAGATCTGAAGCAAAAACAAACTATTTCACAGTTGTATGCCTTAATACTAAGATTCAGATAAAATTCATGTATATCGGAAAGTTAAGTAGTTGTTAAGAAGTACTACATTCTGTCCCATAGGATATGAAGTTTAACAGAGCTCACAATTACTATACCTATCAAAATCTACGAGTTTCACTCCAAAATTTATCACCTGAAAAGACGACGGCCGTCTTAAATTAAAGTAGTAAGGACCACCAGAAAATTCCCACCTTTTCAGACCCCCTCTGACATGACGATGTGGAGGCCAAGGTGTGCTGGTGGGTTCAATGAATGTGCCCCTATTTATTCTCAACAGGAATAAGCAAAGACAATTGTCTTAGACACTCTGATGATTACATGGAGAAACAGGTTAGTCAACTATGATCTGTTCTGTCAGACACACACATTTAAGTGAATTGCACCATCAGTTAGTACTTACTAAACACTCTTCATGTATAATAAATTCTTCTCGGGGCTACCAGCAGTGACAGGTGGTTTAATGAAGAAAACGCCAATGTTTCGAGAACCATCTTTGTCCTCATACTCAGGGTACTGCAAATCTCAGTACCCTGGAGACGACAACAAAGATGGTTCTCGAGGACGTTTGTGTTTTCTTCATTAAGACACCTTACACGGCTGGTAGCCCCGAGAAGAATTCATTACACTTAGTTGAAATGAAAACTGCAGATCATACCCTCTTATTGTGTAAACCAGAGAGTGCAGACGTACTGGCTTTATACTGATCTGTGGTCAGCAATTTTTGACCTTGAAACATCATGTCAGATAAATGAGACTCGTACAAACCACCCAGCGACAGAATTTCACTTTTGTGCAAGCGCCAGAAGAGACCCCTTCACCTGACATTATCTAATATCCCACACAGCTTCCAGAAACAGTGAAATCACTTCAAACTAACTTTAAAACTGATACCTTCAAGCAGTAGAGAAAAACATTTATCGAATTAAAATTTTATATCTGAATGTTCATTTGTTAAATTAAAACAGTTATTAATTTAAAACACTGACTCCCAAGTGGTTTTTAACAGGCATAAATTCATACCGTGGCCCACCAGTGACCCTCACCCGTAAAAAAGTAAAAGAAATTCAGAACTCTCATTATATGAACCATGTGACAATCTCGTGGCTCTGACAAACCTCACGCATCTTCCCTGTCCCAATCATGGTGTTACAAATAGGTTACTTCACTGCAAGAAGGCTGAGCCTCCAATAAATTATGAAGTTGGGCGAACCACCAGCAGCTCTAACAGTTGGAATTCAGTCACACAATCCATTGGTTACCCTCACAACAGGCAACTTTATTGACAGCTTATATTTGTACATAAACATATTTTAGTTAAAGATGGCTAGCTTCTGCGTCGTTGCATCATGTAGTCTATGAAACTATACAATGACGACGACCCAGACGATAGCCACCTACACAATTGCTGCCATGAGAATCTAAAATCTCCCATACTGTACTTTGTTGTAACCCAAGATCTGTTGTTGTTATATGGACAAATTCACCATAAATGCATTGCGAGACTTTTAACTGCATTTACAGTTAACCGTCCAAACTTCCAGGTTAGTATTTACATAAAACACAAAAAATAAAACAAAAAAGTAAAATACAAACAATGAACTTTGGTTAGCAGGTTAGAACACTACATCACGCAAACGTACAAATTCTAACTGCAAATGCTAATTTATTTCTTCCCTCAACTGCTTCAAATAATATTCCTAAAGACAAATGAGAAGGTTGGTATGTTACGAATATAATGCTCATGTACAGTGTACCTTCCTTCGGTAGCCCCAGGAAAACCAAGTTTGTACAGGGCGACAACAACAGCTCCTCCGAGTCCGATGTTGTGTTGAAGAGCTAGTTTTGCTTTTGGCACTTGTCGCCTTCCTGCCATGCCGCGTAGTTGCCAGGAGAGCTCCGCACATTGCGCCAAACCTAAGGATTAAGAAAACATTAACATTCAATATAACAGACGTTCTCCACACAACCTGCTCGACAGACCAACCCTGGCCTACATTGGAATCCACAAGATCGCAAGATACTCGTATAACATCAACATCAGAATCAAAACAGCGAATTTTCATTCTTTAAATGTCTGACTTACACCAGTTTTAATTTTTAATTATATTTTAAAATATTTTTATATACAATAAGAACTGTATTGTTTCATAACTACTGGGCAATATTCCAATCTGCACACAAGTTAAAACTGGTATTTTAACTCTATATTTTTTATGTAGTTTTCAGAAGTATTATTCTGAAGATTTCTGTCTTCTGGGTTGTTGCGCTGTGTAGTCTGGTCGATGTTAGCCAACGTTTCAGAGGTCATGCTGCCTCCGTCATCATATTCATCGCCGATGACAGAGGCACTATGACCTCTGAAACGTTGGCTAACATCGACCCGACTACACAGCGCAACAACCCCGAAGACAGAAATCTTCATACTCTGATGACGGAGGCAGCATGACCTCTGCAACGTTGGCTAACATCGACCCGACTACACAGCGCAACAACCCCGAAGACAGAAATCTTCATACTCACCGCTGTGAAAACCTCAAATCTTACAAGTATTATTCTGTAAACATCACATTGTCCGCTGCTGATTGCCTGGCCAGTGACGATGGCCCTTTGGGGTTGCGTTTGGCCAATAAATATACTACCCTTCAGTGTTAACAGTTGTTGGATATATAATTTTACATTGAGTTGCTACACGGTATGAAAGGATTTAAGACAGAGATGTGAGATTTTAGGTTAGTAATCTGAAAAATTAACCACATAATTCCTACACAATCACAGATTTAACTACCAAATCAGGCAAGTCATGTCTGACAGTGGTACAGTATTTAATATATACACACACACGTGTGTACACATACAAATACACACGTCTTAGATACTTCTTCCTTCAGGAATGACGCCTTGGCTAGGTTGAACAAAGGATGTAAAGCAATTAAACTCACGTTACATTTTGACAAAACAAAGTATCATATATCATATACCACAAAATTGAACAAATCTGTTCACTCACCAGTAGCACCAAGAGGATGGCCCTTGGAAATAAGACCTCCGCTAGGATTGATTACGTACTGGCCGCCATACGTATTATCTCCAGAGTCGATTAATTCGCCTGCCTTTCCAGGTTCACACAGACCAAGAGCTTCATAGGTAATAAGTTCATTAGCCGAGAAACAGTCATGTAGTTCGACCACATCAACATCCTGTGGTTTATAGTTGGTCTTCTTAAACAATGTGTCAGCGGCTTTCTTGGTCATATCATAACCAACCTGAAAGAATAAGCATAAAAAAACTGTAATTTTTACCAGGAAAAAATAATAATTTATATTATCATCAATAATGTTACTATTATGATTTTGTTTAAACATGTGTAGCGTATCTGGCTTTTTCCCTCTCACATTCCAGAACCAATCACCCACACAACCAAACTGATGTATTACCCAAGAGTGGTGCAGTTTGACCTTTATGATACAGGCTTTAAATTTGATCGCTCAACAAAACAACTGGATTTAATTGGCATTTAAATGCTTTAAAGAGTGGGCAGAATCATAAAATGAATTTCAGTCTGTTCATTGCACCTTTTAATCTAAAATCTTGCAATATGGTGCAGAATATTAAGGATGAATCCATTTTCATGTAACTGAACTTAAAAAATAATCAGTCCAACAGCTTAGTTTACATATGTATCACCCAACATCGACCAGACTACACAGCGCAACAACCCAGAAGACAGAAATCTTCATACTCACCGCTGTGAAAACCTCAAATCTTACAAGTATTATTCTGTAAACATCACATTGTCCGCTGCTGATTGCCTGGCCAGTGACGATGGCCCTTTGGGGTTGCGTTTGGCCAATAAATATACTACCCTTCAGTGTTAACAGTTGTTGGATATATAATTTTACATTGAGTTGCTACACGGTATGAAAGGATTTAAGACAGAGATGTGAGATTTTAGGTTAGTAATCTGAAAAATTAACCACATAATTCCTACACAATCACAGATTTAACTACCAAATCAGGCAAGTCATGTCTGACAGTGGTACAGTATTTAATATATACACACACACGTGTGTACACATACAAATACACACGTCTTAGATACTTCTTCCTTCAGGAATGACGCCTTGGCTAGGTTGAACAAAGGATGTAAAGCAATTAAACTCACGTTACATTTTGACAAAACAAAGTATCATATATCATATACCACAAAATTGAACAAATCTGTTCACTCACCAGTAGCACCAAGAGGATGGCCCTTGGAAATAAGACCTCCGCTAGGATTGATTACGTACTGGCCGCCATACGTATTATCTCCAGAGTCGATTAATTCGCCTGCCTTTCCAGGTTCACACAGACCAAGAGCTTCATAGGTAATAAGTTCATTAGCCGAGAAACAGTCATGTAGTTCGACCACATCAACATCCTGTGGTTTATAGTTGGTCTTCTTAAACAATGTGTCAGCGGCTTTCTTGGTCATATCATAACCAACCTGAAAGAATAAGCATAAAAAAACTGTAATTTTTACCAGGAAAAAATAATAATTTATATTATCATCAATAATGTTACTATTATGATTTTGTTTAAACATGTGTAGCGTATCTGGCTTTTTCCCTCTCACATTCCAGAACCAATCACCCACACAACCAAACTGATGTATTACCCAAGAGTGGTGCAGTTTGACCTTTATGATACAGGCTTTAAATTTGATCGCTCAACAAAACAACTGGATTTAATTGGCATTTAAATGCTTTAAAGAGTGGGCAGAATCATAAAATGAATTTCAGTCTGTTCATTGCACCTTTTAATCTAAAATCTTGCAATATGGTGCAGAATATTAAGGATGAATCCATTTTCATGTAACTGAACTTAAAAAATAATCAGTCCAACAGCTTAGTTTACATATGTATCACCCAGATGCTGGAGGCAGCAAGGACCTCTGAAACTTCGGTAAACTTCTATCAGACTACATGGCGCAACAACCCAGAAGACGACCATCTTACTTTACATACTTTATCTATTTTGTATAATCTTATAAATACTTGAAAATAGATTAATTTAGACTGGAATTTTCACATACTGCAACATATTTTCACCGGTCACAGTGGCCGTACAGTGTGAGGTGTGGGCCTCGTGCACTTGGACAATGGGACCGTGGGTTCGAATCACACTCAAGGCATGGGTGTTTGTCTACATCTTTCTGTGTTGTACTGTCCTGTGTACAGGCAGGGGCCATGCGACGAGCTCATCACTCGTCCGAGGAGTACTATCAAATGTCTGATTGCTGAAACCTCTTTAACCCTTCAGCGTGGAGTGCCGAACATCGCTCGTCATGACGTAATCATCCCATGGCGTGGAGTGCCGAGCACTGCTCGCATAATGCGCGCTAAGATTTCTCCTTCTACGTAGCGACTGACCTTGTACTTTATGTATTCTGGCTCCAGTAGCCGTGTAGAGAAAAAAGCTGGCTGTCGATTGATATATAACATGACTCTTGACAGATCGATTTTACCAGTGTTTTTCGACTTTGAAATATAGATCGATTATTGAACTCAACTGCATTCAGTCTCTGCTCTGTGGCTCCCTATATCGAAGACGAATGAAGTAATATAGTTACGGCTACGACAGCTGTGTAGGACACATTCCAAGCTTTGCAACGGTATATGATGTCAGCAAGCTTCGTATGAACGGACTTCCGTAGCACATATCTGCCGTCAGTCAGCCGCGATTATGGCTTCGAGTAGCAGACGTTTTTTGTCTCCTCAAGACATTGATAGAACTGTAGACGACCGAAGCATAGTGTGTTGTGAACATTTTGTTCAAAGTTTCACTAAAATTCATCAATTATTAGGGAAGTTGTGCCCATATAAGTAAATTGATGCACTTTCAAGATCAAAATTAAATACCCAAGCAGAAAATCCTCCCACAGCACAGTATAGACTTCCGATTTAAATGCTCCCACGCTGAAGGGTTAAAAAGAGGCTGTATATTCACTTAGGAGTGAAAATGACATATACATACAAAACACACACACAATAGCTTCAAAATGATGTTAACCTTTGTGGGTGATAAAACAGGTAGCCCTACCCACTGACATGTGTAACAAATGCAGAAATGATTAAGGTGCTGACAGATGGTTCAATAATACAGACTCTTTGATCTATATTTAGAATTCTTTCTTGGTGCTTTGATTAACAATATTCCCTATTCAAACAGTTATATGAATGGCCTAACAAAAGACTTATATGTATGTTGGTACCACGTTGGTGCTGAGAGCCTAATTTTGGTTGCGGCAAAAGCCACACACATAAAATGTCCTCGATCTCTTCAATGTTTTCAAATCCGTCACATCAGTCCTCTTAAACCGAAGCATGAACTCATTCAACACTTGTCTGCCATTTGTGAAGTGGTGTTCTGCTATTTTTAAACCTTTCTACCCATTGGTACATCCTCATTTGCACAATAGTCATCTTTGTACTGTGCAAACATTCTTCTCTTAATCTCGGGGGGGTTTTACCCCCTCTAACCACAAAATAATAAAATATACCACAGAGCTTAACAATGGTGAAATCCAGAAGCAAAGCGGATATGCTTACACTACGATTCCAAAAGCTTCGCTGAACTTCAATGGATTTGTTAATATACGAGGTGCGATCGGAAAGTTTACAGACTGTGTCAATAGAGGGCGAACCGGATGTAGAACGAGCTTCTGCCGCTAGGGGGTGCGGCCTACATTCATAGTGAATCAGTGTGCCAGCCGGCATCATCGAATTAGCATTTGTTTCTTAGTTACGGGCGTTTTGGTAGTGCATTACACCGACCCTCCTGCGATTTCGGAATGGCGTGTGCATCAAATTTTGCCAAAGACTCGCCAAAACGGCTAAGGAAACCTATGAAATGCTAAAGCAAGCATTTGGGGAGTCCGCAATGGGTCGTGCACAAACGTTTGTGTGGCATTCACGTTTTAAAAAGGGCCGGCCGAACCTCTGTCGATGATGACGAGAGTTCTGGACGACCATCTTCGAGCACAACGCCCGAAAATGTTACGAAGATCGAAGTCGTACCATCGAATTAGGATTTGTTTCTTAGTTACGGGCGTTTTGGTAGTGCATTACACCGACCCTCCTGCGCTTTCGGAATGGCGTGTGCATCAAATTTTGCCAAAGACTCGCCAAAACGGCTACGGAAACCTGTGAAATGCTAAAGCAAGCATTTGGGGAGTCCGCAATGGGTCGTGCACAAACTTTTGTGTGGCATTCACGTTTTAAAAATGGCCGAACCTCTGTCGATGATGACGAGCGTTCTGGACGACCATCTTCGAGCACAACGCCCGAAAATGTTACGAAGATCGACGTCGTACCATCAACGACTTGTGCGACATTGTTGGGCTAGGCTATGGGACCTGTCAGCTGATTCTAAACGAAGAACTCCCCATGCGACGCATCATGACAACGCGCCAGCGCACACCGCCCTCAAAGTTCGGCAGTTTTTGGCCTCAAACACTATGGCCGTCATCCCGCACCCTCCTTATTCGTCGGATTTAGCTCCGTGTGACTTCTTCCTCTTCCCACAGATGACAATTCAGCTAAAGGGAAGGAGATTTGAGACGATAGAAGAGATTCAGGCAGAATCGCAGATGGTGCTTGACAGGCTGACAAAGAAAGATTTCCAGGGATGCTTCCAGACTTGGCAGCGGCGCTGGGATCGTTGTGTTCACTCCCAGGGGAACTACTTCGAGGGTGATGGATGAATTTAATACCTGAGATAAGTGTACGGGTTTTTATAGGCGCAGTCTTGAAACTTTCCGATCGCACCTCGTACATCATTCAAATTGAAACATGTAAAACCTAATTATATTAATATTTACATAAAAGTAGTTTGTTCATACCAGAAGAATCATTTTCTAATCCCAATTATTTTTTTTATCTGCAACTTACCATTTTCATACAACTGCGTTCATTGAAAGTGGATGGCAAATCTGTGGCCATTTCCATTCCAAGAATCTCGACAGCTTGTGCCTCTAACCCATGTGCACGAACGAAATCTTCTGTTGCTAAGATAGCTGCAGCAGATCCATCAGATGTAGGACAGCACTGAAGCTTAGTCAAAGGACCAAAGACACGCGGCGAGTTCAAGATTTGTTCCAAACTATAATCTTCTTGAAACTGAGAATAGCTGAAAAAGGTTTCTGTACAGTCATTCATGTAACTTTTCAATTTAAAAGAGCATACATTCGCTTACATACTAAAAAAAAAAGACGGTAGTAACTTGGGCACGCATAAATTTAACTTGCGCTCAGTACACGACTGGTTAAAGGTACGGCTGAAGACTGTATTTATGTGGTTTTCTTCAATCCCTCCAGTAAAATGCAGGGATATTACATTAAACCAGGGCATGACGCTTGATTAAACAGATTTATTTTATGTCTTAGGCATAACACTGATATTGAACTGGGTGTTAAGACTTTTAACTTTCCTCCAAGTTTTAAAAATATACCCCAGGCGGTAGTAAAGACGAAGCAGTTCACAATGGCCAACGACAATGATGTGTGTCACTGAATATCTTTCTGCAAAAGATGATAAGCCCCACTTAATGGCACCTGCACCATGTCGTGGTGGTGGGGCTTGAGTGCCTCAGCGACCCCAAGAGCTACTGGTAGGGCCTCCCTAGCCAGATTGGTCGAGGGGGAGAGGTCAGACTAAGACAGGTACCCTGGTCCTCCAGGTTGGGGGTTGTCACAAGGCTGACAACCTTGCACCGTAAAAAGGAAGATGTTTCGAAACCTCAACCTCAAACAGACGGACCTAACAGGATAGGACCGAATGGAAGAGGAGAATTGAGGAGGTCATGGACCGAATACAGACCAGAGAGCCATACAAGAAGAAGAAAAGATGTTAAGACTCACAAAGGTTCACAGTCACAATTATTTTTTAAGATGTGTGAGCAAGGTGAGGCAATGGGTAAAATGGACCTGAGTGATCGCCTCACGCAATCTGTGATAGCCGTGTGCAACAAGAACTGGAGAAAAACTAATAAGCTGTTCTAAAATGATCAACAAATCACCATTCTGAGGATTCTATGAGGATGGTTGTAAAGACATGATTGCATAACGTGGCAGACAGCTTATACCACATCGAAACATGTGCTCCTATTCACCGCTTATGTGGAAACATAGAAAACAAAAGTAAATGTCTCCAAATTTATCTGTGCAAACTTGAAAATGCCATCAAAAGATTTATTTAAAAAGAAACGAAGCTACTACTTTAACGGTGATGTATGGATAGACCTACAAAATATGTTTTCCTTCTTGACAACAAAACACCATTTACTCTATAATTTTCACTGATTACAAAAGTAAATGTCACAGTTATGCATGAAAGTGTTCACAAATACTTCTTATATCACAAGCAGCTGGAAATGACGCAGGTCATCGAGTATGCAAATGTTTTCCATTAGGTGCCAAATTTTAAATGTGGATATGTTTCACACATCTATAACTTAGGACACAACTAAAATCCAAAGAAAATTGCAGCTGAGTTATTAGATCCACAACTCACATCACAATTTTAAGATGAAGTGTTGAAGGATCACGTAAAATATTGACGGTACTTACGGGTTGTTTACTGAATGTTTGTGATTTTTGTACGCAATTTTTGCAAGATGTTCTAGTTTTGTTCCGTATTTCTCCATGTGCTCTTTACCAGCATTACCGAACATTTGCGCAGCGATCGGAGTATTGTTTATGCCAGCAACTTCAGCCATTACTTCAACATGTTTATCCATCGGATTTGTTCGGTCAAGAAACTACAAGCACACAGCAGAATAAACACAAATATATTTATTTCAGTAATGTAATTACACCATATTAAATGCCACGTACTTCCAAATTTCCTAGTATTCGATGCAACCAGAATATGCAGCACTAACCTTTGAAGAAAGAGACCCCCTTTCCATTTTTTCAAATCCCAGCGCTAGGACCCCGATTCTAGAAGTTGTTTGGCCATGATCAGAGCTGTTGACCCGGTCGAGCAATTGTTGTTAACATTATATACAGGCATTCCAGTCATGCCAATCTCATACAGCGCTCGCTGTCCGCTTGTTGAATCTCCTTAAATACAAATATCGACAATGTAACAAAGAAGAAGCTCTTTTCATAATTACATTGAGAAACAAATGGAATTTCAGTCCTTTAAACGAAAAAATCTTTTCTTGCATGTAAACAGCTTTGTACCGAGGTTTCTTGCCGTACTTAAAGTAATGTACGTCACGGAATGAAAGGGTTTGTCAACAGCGCAGTAATTACTTCGGTATTTTCTTAGTACCACACATGATGGGTTTTCCCCTTTGTATGCAAACAGCATTCTACAGACATTTCTTTGCTGTTCTAAATGAAACTAACGTAAAATAAAGTTTGTCCCACTATACGCCATGTAGGCGCTTGGGGTGAGTGGAGGTATAGCTCCTCTCTTCCTTGACCCCGGCACTAGATGGGGGTGAGTGGTCAGCATCACGCCCCGGCCGGCTTTGGGAAAGGACCCCGGTACCCATTGTGGAGGAGGCTGGGTGGGCCCCAGAGCCGGTCTGGCCGCAGAGGCTAGAGGAAAAATCCTCTGCCCCCGTCGGGGATCGAACCCCGGTCGTCCAGCCCGTAGCTAGTCACTATACTGACAAAAGATATTTCTGAATTTATTATCTGTTAGGCAGAAACAGCTGAATCATATTTCATTTTTACTCACTTCAACTGAGTCAACATCCTTAAATGTTTGCTTTTCATTAGTACAATTAATTATTCATCCATCTTTGTAATTCTATATTAGTCTCGCATTTCTGACATGACTAATTCAAAAAATTCGAAATCGTGCTTAAGGCATGAAACTTTCGACACGACAGCCACTGACATTTACAAAAAAAAACTTCAAACTCTTCACTAGATGGCAGTACAATCCACGCCAATACAAATATATTTTTATGAGATTGAATGTCACAGATTATGAAGATCGTCGTCATCATTATTTGACGTGGATTAAAGTTAAATTTTGCACTGTGATATACTGTTATGCAATAGGATTAATGTACATCATATAATTATTTAAATAGCATTGCTCAGATATTACATTTCTTATCAAATCAGCATATATTTTCATCACTATACAAATGACAAGGTACATGAACCCACACTGTGATAATTATCCTGTTTTCTTTACTTATCTAAATTATGAAGGCCTTTAATCTACACAGAAGTACTTGGTCTTAATATCACTTGTCTTCATTATTTTCACATGAAATCTTTGGTACAAACTGCAAACTTCAAAGATAAGTTAAGACTATTCTGTACACAAGTTTACCTTCGGAGTCCGACTCAACTTATTAAAATATTAAACACTAAATATCAAAGGTTAATGATCAATTTTTTTACATTCGCTAGATACCAGACAAAAAGTGGGATTACAATGGGACAGTCCATCAATTATTTATAGACTTCAAAAACGCCTATGACTCAGTTGAAAGAGAAGCTCTTTACAATATTTTGCTTGAATCTGGTGTACCTAAGAAGGTAGTCAGGCTAATTAAAGTGCATTTAAATTAAACCTCCAGCAAAATTCGTGTAGGTAAACATTTGTCCGATATATTTCCTATTCAGAATGGCCTGAAATGGAGATCTTTATCACCACTGCCTTGGAATATGCCACCAGGAAAGATAAAAAATCAGGGCGATTTCTAATTGAACGGGACGCATCAGCTTTTAGCCTATGTTGATGATATTAATCTGTTGGGCGACAATGTAAATACTACAAAAGGGAACACAGAAACATTCTTATGAGCTGGCAGGGATGTTGATCTAGAAAATAAATGCAGAAAAGACAAAGTACATGAACACGTCCCAGCATCAGAATTCACGACAGAACCAGAATACGCGGACAGCTAATGAATCACTCGAAAACGTGACAAAATTTAAGCATAGATTAAATTATGCTTGCTCTCATTCAGTCCAAAATATTCCGTCCTCCCACCTCGCATAAAAAAAAATTAAAGATTAAAATACACAAAAGTGTAATTTTTCCAGTTGTGCTGCATGAAACTTCGTCTCTCACCTTGGGGGAGGAACATAGATTCAGGTTCTTTGAGAACAGAGTGTTGAGTAAGATATTTGGACCTAAAAGAGAGGGAGACGGATCATGGAGAAAACTGCATAAAGATGAGCTTCGCGGCCTCTACTTCTCACCTGATATTGTTAGGGTGATTAAAGTGAGGAGGATGAGGTGAATGGGACATGTGGCATGTATGGGGGGGAGGGAGGCCTGAAGGAAAAATACCACTGGGAAGATCTAGGCGTTGGTGGGAGGATAATGTTAAGATGGACCTTAGGGAGATGGGAATCGATGGAGTGAACTGGATGCACGTGGCTCAGGATAGAGTCCGGTTGTGGGCTTCTGTGAACACGGTGATGAACCTTCAGGTTCCATAAAAGAAGTGGGTTATTCTTTGACGATCCAAGTAAACAACCAACTTTTCAAAGAATATATAACACCATTGAGTGAGTATAAATATCAAAGGTTTCAGGCTTCAGCATCTACTGTATGCTATCATGAAACCTTTTTCATTCAGGGTAAATATTTTAAGCATACTTCTTATGCAACCGACCATAATTAGATATTATTAGATTAATATTAGAAGCAGAAAAAGGATAAAAAATATGTAAAAATATACAGAATAGTCCGAAATAATTACTACACACATGTTAACGGGCCATTCTACGTACATGCTATTTGAATGTACCTGATGTGAACACTTTCAAATTCTTGAACATTAGATACATATATACAGTAGGGCACCGCTTATACGGCGGGTTAGGGACCAGACCCCCGCC